GTTAGTCTGGCTCCTCTCTCCTCTCACGCCTGGGGTATTGACTTCGGTCTACCCTCGTAGGGCCCTCTCTCTCCTTGGGGGTTGGTCGGTTGGAGGCCCTCCTTGGCTGGCTGGCAGATGGTAGGATCCCTTCCACTACAGTGACGCTATCTCTTCCAGAACAAGGGACTACATGAGAGATGCGGTAAAACATTTGCTTTGCTGTGCCTAGGCCGCCGTTGATGATCTTCCTTATTCCCCCTTCCTTCTCCCCCCACGCGTGGTGGGGAGTCCTCTTATAACGGACAGGGTCTGAGGGTCGGGTAGCCCAACGCACACCACGACAGGAGCAGGCAAGGGGTCGGAGGCGAGGTCTAGGGACAGGTGCACAACCGAAGCAGGTTGTACGAGGTTCGGGGGTCAGGGCCTCATGGTCAGGGTTCAGGGGTTCACAAGGACACGAAGTAGAAGAGAGTGTAATTCCTAGGTACAAGGGCCCTAAGGAGATTACCAGATTGCGTAAAGAAAGTAAAATATAAGCAGACACACCTCCTTATATAGATAGGAAATCCTCCTTGATCACTAATACAAAAGAAAGTCCTTGGCGGCATGCACAGCCGCGATTCTTCCATCAGGTTCCACCAGGTTCCGCTACGCGGCAACATACCCCAATCATACCACAAAGGAAATCCTACTATGCAACCAAAGAAACCCCACCCAATTGTTAAGAATCCTACCAGATGGGTAAGTGTGACAGGTAACGATTCTTACTTATCTGAGAGGTAATAGTTCTTAGGCCTATGCCTATGCAACTTCGATAGTCCAGTCCTTTGACTTCTATCTTGTCACACCTATTCCTCTAACTTCTTAAGTCCTCGCTTAGGACTTCTTTGCGTATCGTAGTATGAGGTAGTATCTGTTCTCTTGGGAGGAAAGACAATTCTTGGGTTTCTTAAGATAAATCTTAAAGAGTGTAAATGTAGGTTTTATTGTAATAACTTAAAGATAGGAAATAAACAAGAAGAACGTGTGAAGAGCTCATACTTGGAGTTCTTAACAACTCCTTTATATACTCGCTCTTCACCTCGTGTGACTCATACCTTGCATCACACGAACCCTTTGACTCATAACCATGAGTCATATAAAATCCATCAGACGACTCCTATGAGTCGCTACGCACATGCCTAAAATCAATCAACCCATAATAATCAAGTCAAGTGCGCAACTCGCGTCACTTGAATAAAACCCATGACTCATAATTATGAGTCATGTGCGAAAATCATAACATCGTGTGACTCACAAGTGTGAGTCACGAACAGGTAAACATAATAACCTATGGTGCACTAGTGTGCATCATGTGAAATCCCAACATACCTATAGCTCGGAATTCCGAACTATATAAAATCTGCCTTGCTTAGTCACAGTTTGTGACAAGTACAGAAGAGTTGGGCACCATGAGGTCTGCCCTGTAGGTGAGGATAGGAAGGATGAGTCTCACAGCCAGCCTCCTGCTAAGATAGGGAGGCAGGCCTTTGCCGGGAGGAGAGAGTTGTCTCACGATAGCAAAAGCCCCCTGGGCAAGCGCCAACTGTTTTGCAAAGTGAGGAGAGGTCTCCAGGCTAGGAGTAAACCAGTAGCTGAGCCAGCGAACCAGCCCAGCAGGGTGGAAGAGGGTACCATCCAGGGTGACCGGGGCATAGCAACGAGC